ATCTCCATCCGCGACGCCATCAAACCTGCAGCAAATCACGAGTCTTCCTCCTCTAGCACCAACCTAAATCCGCTACTACTACCACTCTCCCTTCTTCAACGCGTCGTCGCGGCACACACCTCCATCATCCTCGCCAACCCCAAACCTGCAAACCACAAGAACTAGAAATCTGCAAGACCATGAGCTTAAATTACAAATCTCTCTGGCGAATCGATCGGCTCCCGTGCTTCCACCGTTCGGTAGCTTCACCTCTTCATCCGTTTGGTGTCCTTCTTCTTGTCCCTCACTGCTCGGCCTCTTCCTACCTTCCATCTCTCTGTGCTTGAAGGGAATCCACGTGGACAGTCGTTTGCAAAAAGGACTAAATTAAACATAAATTACGTTCTTTAGGACAACAATGAACAGAAAAAAAAAATAGAACCATTTCGAACATTCCCAACCAAAATTGAGAACAAAAAAAGTATTAAACCTTAAAAGTATTTACTCATTATAAATTTAAACTTTCATAAATATGCATATTTATAATGTGTAACACGCTAAGTTGTGTAATAAACGACCTAAAACACTATAATCATACATTGTTTATAATTATTTTCTGATTTTTTTTAATTTACATGTATTTTTGTTATGTTTTAAAATCAAAGATAACATGATTGTAAATTTGCACTCATTCGTTCAACAAACGAAAAACCCATTCTATTGAGAAAAAAAAAAACAAGTACAATTTGGCTTTATATATTGGGAAGTGAAAGTACATAACAGAGATAAACAAGATTCAAAGTAATCTATTGAATTGAACTAAACCTGATTACTAAGTTGGGAAGGAAACAATAATAAGAAAGAATTACAAGATATGATTAAATTTGTGCTTCAATTAGCTTTCTTTGGCAAAGCAAAGGAAGTGATAGTTGATGCTATGGCAGTGAACACAAATCCAATCAGAAGAAGACTTGCAGAAGCGTTTGCCTTGTCGGTAAACGGGTTGGAGGGTACACCTCTACCCAACTCTACGGTCACACCAAATCCAGCAGCTGAACCCGAAATCATGAAGTATGATATCATCTGTTCATACAAATTAACAACACAATCATTCATAATCACAGTATTTATTACAAATCATTACAAAAAGCTTGTTCGTCACAGTTTCGTATCAACTAAAAAATAAATGGATCCAAACTTCATCTTACAAGTCGAATTTGTAAAGTTGAGTTAGATTTAAAGTTTACTATGATATCAGAGCTATATTAGAGTCTATTTTATGGATATTTGTTATTTGTTGGACATGTTGTTCTACCTGGTTATTACCGTTATCGTACCATTCATTAATGTCTAATCTTATGTTTGAGATATATATATATATCTTGACTTGAAGAAGATGTTTCATATCAACTAAAGATAAGACTAATTTTAAGTATATAAATAGATACAAACCTCACCTTACAAGTCGATTTTGTAGAGTTTTAAAGTTCACTATGATATCAGAGTTATATTAAAACATATGCTATCAATATTTGTTGTTTATTGGACATGTTGTTCTACCCAAAACCGTTATTGGATCATCTTTTAATATCTAGTCTCTCAACGTGAAGAGGACTAGTCGATTTTGTGAGGTTACCTTAAACTTAAAATTCACTTCTTAATATATATATATATATATAGGTTTAATAGCCAATTTAGTCCCCACTTTGGTTGAAAAATCTCAATTTAGTCCCTCGTTATAAAAGTGTTTTACATTAGTCCTAACTTTTAAAATAGTGGGTCAGATTGGTCCCTTTCGTTAAATATAAGTTAACGAGATTAATAGATGATGATGTGACACAGCTTAAAGCTGATGTGTTAGATTGGTCCCTCGTTAGCTTTAAGTTGTGTCACATCATCATCCATTAATTTTGTTAACTTATATTTAACAGAATTAATGGATGATGATGTGACCCACTATTTTAAAAGTTAGGACTAATTCAAAGCACTTTTATAACGAGGGACTAAATTGAGATTTTTCAACCAAAGTGAGGACTAAATTGGCTATTAAACCTATATATATATATATATATATATATATATATATATATATATATATATTTTTTTATAACATGAGATTTACCTTGTCAGCAAAGAAATCAAACAAATAGCCACCATCACCACTTAACACACGGTTTCCTGATACCACGGTGAAGATTGAGAACGCCATTTGCAGCAGGTTATACGCAAATCCAATTATTATCGTCGCTAACATATATCTGCATTTACAAAACAGTATGGTTTCTTTCACTTTCATTGAGACACATTGTAAATTAATATACTTGAAAATCAATCCTCAATCATATAACTATAGCTTCAAGTAAAAATCTTTCTCACGTTGCATGCTATAAAAGTCAAAAGGGTATGCATATAGATGAGAATATGTAAATTTTATAAACTGTAGTACAATGTTGCATGCTTACCGATAAGCATAGAAATCACTAAACTTGACTTGTTCCTCGGTGTCAGCATCAGTTTGTTTGAGTGTGGCAATGAGAATGAGAGCAATGAGAAGGAACACGAAGGTTAAGACTCTCATAAGGAGAAGCACAGTTCTTGATGAAGCTGTGGAGGAGTTGGAGGGTGTGGTATTCACGACCGTCTCAGGCATTTTCCTAGTATATCTCAAAACAAAAACCTTGTTTCTGAATAATTTAGGTTTAGTTTTTGACCTTTTTATAACACCGAGAATGATGAACAACGTACGTGTTCTGTAATTCTGATCGTTTACTCAGTGTGATAAGGATAAAGTCAATAGGCAAGTTGATGCCTAATGATTCCGAATGAAACGTAAATGGATGACTTTGAAACTGCTGGCATTACACCTTTCATTGCTTTGCTTATCATTTCTGCGAAACCTCCATCTCATTCTTTGATCATTCTTAACACTGCTTCTTCACATTAGTTGACTTTGACCCTATTAAGCAAAACATGTCGATAATTACCACTGGACATTGATTTCAGAATATTTCATTCACACTTAGATTCGAGAATCTTTAACAAAATTCGTCACTAATTAATAAAATTAAAATAATCTAAATTAAAGTCGTTGGTATTTTTGTAGAAACCAAAAATTTCAAAGTGTTGACTTTTATATCTTGTATTGATGTTTTTAACTTTTGGACTTCCATTAATTATAAGAATATCTTGTTTATGGCATACAGATGGGTATGTGCCTTATTTATGGCATACAGATGGGTATTTTCTTTTTCCTTCTTAAATATTTTCAAGGTTTAATTTTAGTTCATTTGTTATCTTATTTTAATCATATTTTAAATATTTAATAGCTTAGTCAACGTTCACTTCATCTTATCAGCGCAATCATATGCCGATTATAATAGTAAGTTCAATTAGAAACCAATATATATTATATTACTAGTTTAATGAAGTCTTCAAACCAAACACGTATAGAAAGGAAAAAGATGGTTTGACACTTATTACTACTTTTTATGGCATCCACATGTATTTCTTTTATAAGGATAAAATTATATTAATAAAAATAATTTTTTATATTTTTAAAGGAAAAAAAAGAGAAAAAGATAATAAAGGTTAATGTCAAATGAAAATAAAGAAAATGTTGGTATTAAAATATCATTTTCTATATATAATATAAGAGATACTAATATATAGTTCTTATATCTCTATCTTTTTCTAAAGTCAGGATTACATCTATATCCCTTTGAGTAAAGGAGATGAAGGAAATATTTTCAAGAACTAAGGCCTTGTTCTTTTGAATAAATTTGAGGGAGTGGATTTGATGAGATTTGAGAGGATTTGAAGATAAATATTTTTGTCGTTTATTTGAGTGAATTTAGAGGTAAATAAGAGTAAATTCGGAAATAAATTTTTTTAATTTGTCACGTCAATACAATTCTATACTAATTCTCACAAATTTTATTTCCAAATTCACTCTCATTTACCTCCAAATTCACTCAAATAAACGACAAAAATTTATCTTCAAATTCTCTTAAATCCACTCAAAAGAACAGGACCTAAAAGCTAAGAGCACTTTGCAGGTCATTTTGTTTGATTGTTTGCGGTTTGAGGATGTTCAAAATTATCAAACCACTTACTTCTTGGAATTTTAAGTTGTTTAACCTAAAACTCTTGTATATAATAATTTATTTATTGTCATTTTGATATCCAAAAATATGTTATTATCACCCTAGTATTCCTTTTGAATTTTAGATTAAGGATAAAAAATCACGAAAGTAATGTAATTTTTTTTCATAATTTATAAAAATGAATATTTTTTTTAAATAAATAATTATATAACTAAGTTATGTTTGTAAACACAATTTTACAAAAAAGTGAAATTGTACTTAAATTTAGTTAAAAGAAAGCGAAATTGTATTTATTCCAGCTTAAAAAATGAAGTTATGATTAAAAAATTAGTTTAAAAATAAGTGAAGTTGTATTTCACAACTTAATAATTAATATTTTACCAAAGTTGTATTTGAAAGTACAACTTCGACCATTGAAAATAAAAATAAGATCATACATTAGATACTACTTCCTTGTAAAATCATGTTTTCCCACAATGATATAAGTAATAGTATCTAAAATTTACCCATTTTAATAAATTTTAAAAAAAAATTGTCCATTTATCAAATTTCCTACCATTGATAGATAACACTTTCAAATATTTATTTAAAAGATGTCAGTTTGAGAAATGATATAGAAGTTAAAAAACGGTGATTATAGTCAGCATAATTTAATTTAATAACGAGTAGACGAGAATAGAAGCAAAGCAAAGAGTGAAACGAGAAAAATTCACTATGTTCAAAAGTCAAAGAACACAGCTGTTTCATATATTCAGAAAGAGAAATACAGTGAAAAAGATATATAGACAAGGTAAAAATAAATCCACAATTGAGTGACCAACAAAAGAAATTGAACCATAGATTAACCATGGAAGGAATAAGAAAGAATTTTCAGTTTATAATCCATGAACATCACTATTTTTTTCTGCATTAAGCTAACTAACTATTAGTTTTCTTTGACAAAGCAAAGGAAGTGAAAGTTGATGCCACGGCAGTGAACAGAAATGCAATCAGAAGAAGACTGGCTGAAGCGTGTGCCTTGTCAGTAAATGAGTTGGAGGGTGTACCTCTTCTCAACTCCACTGTCAAACCAAATCCAGCAGATGAACCAGAAATCAGAAAGTACGATATGATCTGTTCATGCAAATTCACAATGCAAACTTGTTTAAAATCTTATCAGATTTTACAGGAAAAGATTGATGAATATATATATATATATATATATATATATATATATATATAATATATATATATATATATATATATATATATATATATAACTTGTTATGACATGAAATATGTACCTTGTCACCAAAGAAATCAAACAGATAACCACCATTACCACTTAACACACGATTTCCTGATACCACAGTGAAGATTGAGAACCCCATTTGCAGCAGATTATACACAAATCCAATGATTATAGTCGAGATCATATATCTGCAATTACGAGATTTCACTTTTACATTTCTTAATAAATTTTACAACGAAGAGAAAGGTTGATATACGTATATATAAACCATGCAATGAATACTTACCTATAGGTATAGAAATCACTGAACTTGATTTTTTCCCCAGTGTTATCATCAGTTTGTTTGGCTACAGCAATGAGAATGAGTGCAATGAAAAGAAAGATAAAGGTTAAAACCCTCAAAAGGAGAAGGGCAGTTCTTGAAACTGTGGTACTTGAGGGTGAGGAATCCGCCATATCTCACAGCTTCTTCTTCTTCTGAGTGTACCCAAAAAAAAATTCCTGCAAATTAATAAATTTGGTGCGTGAAAGATTAGAACTTTTTATAATATCAATAATTGTGAACGTGAACGTGTAGTGTAGCTAGTTCTCGTTTGACAAGGATAAAAGTCAACGCCAAAGTTGGAGCATGAATGCATGATGATTACGAAAATGGTGGCATCACAGCACAGCAATAGCTAGCCGAATCCATTGGTTGACTGAACTCTGCATTTGCTTCAAATGTTCTGGAAAATCTCATACTTTGATATCATTATACTATTACTTCACGTTGTTTGACCCTATTTTTTCTCGCATGATCTCTTTCTTCAATATCAATCACTCTCTTTACACCGTTACCAATGCATGTGCATGTGCTATGGAAATATATATTAAGATAATGTTGTATTCAACATTTCGTATGTTGACTACCAAATTTTGGAAGAACAAAAAAGAAATGTTCGTTATTTTATTTTTCTAGGTAATGCTCTGTTTGTGTGTCTTCTCTTCATCTAATTTTTTTCATTCTAGATTCCAGTAGTTATGTTATATTGAAAATGAATTTAACTACGTAGGATCAATTTTCAATATTTTGTTACTTCTTAGGATTATGTTCTTTGAATCATGGTTGGTTGGTGGTATATTAATTTTGACAAATATTTTTTATTTTTGAAACAATGAAATTCTATAAATTTAATATGGATTTTATAAAAGTAACTCAACATGATTGGGTTGTAGCAAAGTCACGGTATCTGATAAAAAAAAAAGTGCACAACTAAAAAATAAATAACAACTGTCAAACAAAATTATTTAACCTTCCGTGCTTTGTTTTCTAAGGCTAGAATCAGCTTCTATAATTTGTGTATAAATATATTGTATATTAGCATTAGGTCAGTAAATATAATGTTTTATGATAATATTTAAATTTTTAGTATTTTGATTGTAATTTTCTTTTTTTATAAAGTGAATTGTTTTGTATTTGAATGAAACATACAATGGGAGACGCTGAAATATTTGCATTTATTAGAAATGGGAGTGTAATTAAGTTATTTCTGTAATGTAATATTCTTACTACAATAGCTTTTTAATAAAATTGACTCAAAATCTAAAACAAGCTCATAATGACTAACAGGTCCTGTAATTTGCGCACCTTCTCATAGTCGTCTTTGTCCTCGTGCATATAATTATTTTAATATATATTTATTACACACTTTGATATATTTTATTAGTATATATATACTCTTTATTATCAGTGAAAAATCATATAAGTCCAAATAAATTATGGGCTTCACCTCTTCTTTTATTAGGTGTTCCCACAGTGTAAGACTGGATGGGAGGGACACAGAAGAATGTCACACCAGTACTATTATTACTGTTCTAATTTCATAATTAAAATAAAATTATAAAATGAAAATGAAAATAAAAACTCTGAATTTAATTAAATAGAATAAATTGTGAGATATATGGTGTTATTGAAGGTTACTGAACAAATAATTCTATGTATTTGAAAAAAAAAAAGTGCAAATATCAGTCATTCTGGTGGATCATGAAGGAAATATGAGGAAATAAACCAATGGTATCACATGCTTAATAACACTAATTCATTTAAAACGACATATTATCATGTAACGTGTATTGTTATGAGGAATTAGTAACCTTTTCCTTTGTGACATCAGGATTCAATCCTAATATGGACACTTCCTATATCATGCAAAAGTTATGCTGACCTTAAACCACTTGAAAATGATGAAGGTTACGAATCTTACATTTCCTCCAAAGCCAACACGATCAGGTTGTGTGAGCCTCATTTATGTGACATTTGGCGTCCAGAAAAATTAGAGTCATGCTTCTCCAATCCCTGACAAAATAACTACACTTTACAATGTGTTCTATTAAATGGGCCATTGGAGCAATATGCTGTTTTAAAATTGTAAGAACTTATAGTCCTTCTTCTTTTTCTCATCCTATTTCTTTTACATTATAATTTACTAGTGCAATCGAGCTGTTTCATAAGCCCATCACGCGTGTTTTTCCATAAAGAACAGAAAGACAAGGAAACGAATCTGCTTAAAACATTTCTGTCTAAATCAAGCATCATATAGGCAAAAACATTATTGTAGTAATATGCCAAAACTAACATTGTTAGTGGTGGTATCCTCTTTCCCTTTTCCAAACTTTGCAAGGTGCTGATGATACTCTTCAAGCTCTTTCTCCAACCTTTCAATGAAATGGCTAGTATGCTCAAGGGATTGGCCAAACCTATATTTCTCCAAGGCCTGGAAAATTTTCACAAGAAAATAGAACTATTGGGCTAGTTTCTCTTATCACATCATGACACAAATGTCATAATAATCTGAGTACCCTATAATTTCAATAAAAATAACGTAATATATTTATCACCAAACACATTTAGCCAATGAATAACAAATGCAATGTAAATTACCTTTGCTTTTGATAATGTATTTGGAGGAGACATTACTTCCGGTTGTGCGTAGTTCTTTCCACGGTAAAAGATGATGGTATTATTTGGCTTGATGTCAATTACAATGCCTTTGCTCAGTCGAGCAAGCTCTTCAGCATATTCATGTACTTGCCCTGGTTTGCAAGGCTTGCAGGTAACCTTTACGGTTTCATGATTTTTCCAGTGAAGATGCATATTAAGAACTACCCCACCAAATACTCCCCGTCTCCCGACTGGAACATAATGTTTCTTTTTGTCACCTGTGCGCTTCAGGTAATGCCTTTCCTCCTCAGTTAAAATTTCAGGATCAAATGTTTCTGGAGGGGGTTTTGGTACATCATATTTTCTCAGCTTCTCAATCAACCAAGCTTCCTTCCGCTTGGCCTGTAGAATTATAAGTTAAAACAAAAGACCCCCACATTACAAAATAAAAATTAAGGATGAAAAAACAAAGCATCGTTCCAGCCTATCTGAGTCACTAAATCATGTCTGTATTATTTCATATTCGAAGTAATCATGTCTTAATGAAAAATATAGCTTCACAAACTTTCCCAAATACAAAATACAATTTCATGGAGGAATTTGCATACAGATCCATAAGCAGCAATATTTATTATTTCAACACCCATACAAAAAAGAAAAGAAACACATTAACGTAGTGAATACCAGAATAATGCTTATACCATTGTTACCTGCTAGAAAATTGGAGCATGTCCAAAAACATAGAGGATAAAGCTTTAAACTAGAACTTAAAGTTGCAATGAAAGCCAACCTTTTCAAGCTTATATCTAATTCTTATCTCTGGATTTGGGGAATTCATCTTTTTCTTAGCCTTCAAACGGTAGAACCTGAGCTCATTCACTTTAGCTTTTTTAGACATTTTAACTTTTTTGTTCTTCTGGGTCTTTTTTGTAGAATTAATATCATCGGACTTGTCCAGAGAGAACCGCACAACATCATTGTCAGTCTTCAGCTCAACTGATTCATTATTTATGTACCTGGCAGGGAGCCAGCTTCCCAGAATACCTTGCCTTCCAAAGATATTTGGTTGCTGCATTAGAAGAAGACCTGACCAAGAAGACAAGGAGGGAACTCCTGAAAGATTCCTCAGTGTTCTGTAAGTTCTTTGATGCATGCACTCGTGATTGTGAGGTTTAAAGGACCTGAAATATGAAGTCTTGGTAGGGGATGACACAATAGTTGGAGCATGTTCAACAAGACAGCATAACCAGAATAAGCAATCTCTGCAAAGTATGAACACAATTTGGTATTAAAAAATCAGGAGCACTAAAATAAGAGCAAGAACTATGTCAAATATTGTTCTAATCCAACAAATATTGTGTGTTCAAAAATCAGCGTAAGCCTGTTCAACCGAACACTACTATGCTTTGTGTTATGTGGCAGATCTCTGATTTTGATGCTATTGCATTCTAACGACATATGTTGAGATAAGACATACTATGGGTGATGGAGTAAAAAAAGAGGATCAAGGAAAAAGAAAAAATACGGAAAAAAAACACAAACTAAGATAAATACTCCCCACGGGAAACTCCATGTACTGTACTGTATATAGATCCATCCACAACATCGTGAATTTCCATGTATCAATAATAGTGAATTGTATCTGTCCTTTTCTTCAGTTTTAGTTGAAATAATGTTCTTCAGCAAGTCAATTTTATTACAATTCAGATCTAAAGAACACCCTGTTTTATATTGTTTGGACATTTATCGTATCTTCCTATAATTATATTCACAATGGACAATACTACCACACCATAGTATCTTAATAGTTGTTCCTAAATATAATTTTTCCTTTCATCCAATTTCAAGATATCACAAGTTCTACAATTCATTGTGGTCCATAACTTGAAGCAGATTGCAAAAGTGCATAATATTCAACGATAACTTCTATCAATCATGCCCTGATTATCAATGCAAATGGAATGTGACATCACTTCTACTATGTCAGTAATTGGAACAAGCAAGTGTTCACAAACTAGAGCGGAAGAAGTTGAAACTCCCGGATACGACTATTATCTTATTCATATATTCAGAGTTGTAGATTTTAAGCAAACTAGAGAGCACCAGGCATACATATTATGCAGAGACAAGTAGGATAAAACATGTCTATTGATTACCCGCAGACTGAAATGAATTTTTTTTGTAACTAATCAAATTATAAGAATAAAAAAAACATTATTCTGAATAAAATAAGAGTATGAAGCAAATATTTTGGAGGTGATGCATTTAGGGAAAGATGATCAGTGCCTTAGAGAACAGAAGTAAATGTGTTTTTCATTTGGATAAAAAATGACGTCAGTTATGTTGGATTAGGGCTCTTAAAACTAAGTTTACTGTGTATTTTAGAAAGAAACTACGAAACTTCTTGTCCTTAACAAAAGAAACCATAAAGAGAAGGAACCCAATTGTGATTAACAACAAGCTAGAGTATGAAACAGTGGCAAAAGCAGATTATAGGATGGTGACCTTTGAAGCTTGTTTGTTCCACGCCCAAGCTCAGAGATAAGTTTTGAGTAGAATGTCATCAAAGCTTCACAGGTGAGAGTTCTTACAAAATGTATTTTCCTGTAAAACTAAGCATTCACATATACGAACTTGATCCTCGAAATCAAGCCAATTTTATCTTCTAACAACAAGCATGATGTGGTTCAGATATTGTAACAAACACATTATAAGCATTGTTTTTGAAGGTAGAATTACACAAAACTAGAAACCAACAATGAATTTGATCAAGCAGATGGTGCACAACACAATAATCTGTTGTGGAAGTATGATACCAAAATAAGAGCAAATTCGACAAAGTAAGACTGTGTGTACCTGTGTTTCCTGCAAGATGCGGAGAAGATTTGACAAAATAAGAGCAAATATTTTTAACAATTTTATTTCTGTTATCTACATGGAAACTTATATCATTAACACTTTTAAGAAATTCTCCATTTCTTTTAAGAGTCAATCTCTGGTTTAAGAAAACGAGGAACGGTCACAGAAGTTGAAAAGAAGAAAAACAGTGTCTCAGAAATACCATTTTTCAGATTTTATTGTTTTATTATTATTATATTTTTAATTTATTAAAATTACTTCTTAAATTTTTACCTACACCACGTATTAGTTTTTATTATTGCATGCATCTGTCATTGATAGTTAATTATTAATATACTAAGATATTATATTATTTTGTGGTTTTTTCCATAAATCACAAACATACGGATGAAATTGACAATGTAGAACAAGAGTAACTTTTAATTATTATTTTAGTCGGATTGCATTTTAAATTATATATTATCGAGTTACACACTGATTCAAAATAAAAGAATTTTGTAGAGTTTTCAAAAGTCAATGACACAGAAAAAATAAAATTAAAATAGGGTGGTTTCCAAATTACAGAGAAGAAGATGTTCCATTTAGGATTTTAGGTTTTTGAGTATTCCGTGAGGGTTAAAAGAATATTATGAAAAATCTTGGGTGCGGGTAGAAAACAATCGGGTGAAGAAGGCCCATAGTTTCTGGGCCTATTCATCTCTAACCCATGAATATTGGGCTACCCAACATTTAAGCAAAAATTCAAATTAAGATAGCTTTTAAGAAACTATAATTAAAATTTAATAAAAATGACATAGGGGCAATAACAAAAAGATTATAAATTATTTATGAGAAATTTAAATATGTAAAATAGAGTGTGCATAACAGACTTTCCTTTCTCAAACAACAATGTCCCTTATACCTAGTCACGTGCTCTGTTCTTGTTTGCACGTGCCATCTCACACACCAAGATCAATGCATTATGTGTGTTTAGCCATTAAATGAATACCAATAATTAGAGTAATTAGAAATATCGACACATAAAAACACTTTAATGATTTAAATAACTTTGCAATATAAGTGGAGGAAATTATAAAAATATGATGAAAATATGGAATATTTTGTCAAGTGAGAAAAACAAGCTTTATTACAAAGACAAATGAAAAAGCAAAAAGGAGGTTGACTATATATGGAAGATTCTCATAAAGATATGGAGGCAAATCTCTGTGGAATATATATAGTGCGACTTCTCTCTCACAACTAATAAATTTAATTAAATTTGTTTTTATCTTCTTATTTTTATTTTATTTTTAATTTCATGTATCATAGCTTGAGTATAGTAAGTTGGCATTTTTTAAAAAAAAATGAAAGTTATAGTTTTCATTGATTATTTGCAAATTGTATTCAGAAATTGAAAAGGTTGAATTAGGTAGTGATAATGTATATACACGTATCTATGGAATAAAGTCACAATCTTATCTTTAAAAAAATCAATATTTGATGCAAAATGTGCATGTGTTCCATCATCCATGTCCTTTTGCATGCATGGTTGTGGGGTTGTCCCCAGCATCATCATTCATCAAAGGGCAATGATAATAAATAAAAATAAATAAAAATAAATATATATTACCTATTTTATATACTAATATATATATTTATTTATTTTTTCTTTGTATCTATCTCTTCCTTTGATTATGTGAATCTGAAAATGGGTATACCTTTTGGTCTTATCCTATATCAGAATTATCTGAATAAGCAAAGAGTCCCCCCTTCTCCCTTAGCCACCATCTGTATTCTGCCATTCTTTCTCCCCACAAAAACTGCCTGTCTTGTCCACCACTTTCCACCGTTCTTTGTCCCTAATTTTTCTTCTTCTAATATTTTCCTTAAAAATAATACTTTGATAATATTTTTTTATAATATTTTAATACTATTTAAGTGTGATTATGTGATTGATCAATATTAATATTTATGATTATTATGTGATACCTTTGCTTCTAACATATTTATCCCTAATAATCAAATATTGTATCTTTTGCTACATAACAAATGGAGTATGTTTGTATTATTAATATATATATATATATATATATATATA